GCCGAGGGAAGGCTTCGGGAGAACAAGGGGCTGGCTTCTCCCTTGGGCCTTCAGCAGCAGCTCAGAGGCAGGTGTGGCAGTGCGGGCCAGAGCCAGGTTGCACAGGGTCTTAGCTAATGCTGGCTGACAGGGGGTGAGGCCGTGGGCAGCGGGGCTCTGTGGACAAGGTCTTTGAATCTCTAACGATTCAGAGGTTGTGCCATGACCCCAGTACCAAAAAAAAAAAAAGTGTCCCAGCCAAGATACCAATCGGCATGATTGGCAGGAGTCCATTCTGCTCCGGCCACTGGAGCTCCTGTTCTGGCAACACCAGGGCCAACACTACTGTATCTAGTGACAGTGAGTCACCAGCACTGCAGGGCGGCTGGGAGAGCCTCAGCCTTTGAGGATCCTGATCCCCAAGCACGGGGGGGGGGGGGGGACAGCCATAGGGCTCAGAGGAGCCTGGCAGGCCAGGGTGGCCACACTGAAGGGGGAGGGACGGAGTCCCCTTACCCACTGGGCTCTCAGACACTGAGTCAGAGTCCTGACCTCGAAGCCCCACCCCGCGGTCCCCAGTTCCAGTCCCTGAGCTGGGAGGCACACACTCTAGACCCATGGCTCCCCAGCACCCCCTGCCCAACTCGCAACCCCAAGGCCCCAGGGACCCACTGATGTGCAGAGGAGCCTGCAGCCTGAGAGGGGGGGCAGGACGGCACAGCCCCACCTCCTGCCTGATGAACACCAGACCTCCTGCCTCTTCTCCTTTCTGTCCCCACTCCCTCGCTCACACATGACCCCCGGGCTGCCTGTTAATCACTCCGCTTCCCCGGGGAGCCCCTGCCCTGCCCTGTGGACACTCACTTCCCAAGGGACAAGTAGCTTCCACGGGGACACAGACCCTGAAGGTGCCCACCACAAGCACATACGCACATGGGCACACATATGAGTCCACAGCCGTGAACAGGAAGCCCCTGGTGGGCCCCCCATCCCATCCCATACCCCTCAGCAGGAGTCCACAGGGGCGCCCCCTGCAGGGCTGCTTCCTGGACCACGTCCTCTGCATCCCAAGGTCTCAGCTCTACTGCTGTAGCCGGAAGCAGCCACACATGACTTGAGAACAGCTTGTGTAGCTGCGTTCCATCAAAATTTTATGGATATGGAAATTTGAATTTTGTATAATTTTTACATGTTACAAAATACGCTTCTTTTGTGCGGGGTGTGGTGGTGCACAACTATAATCCCTGTACTTGGGAGGCTGAGGCAGGAGGATCACTGTGAGTTTGAGACCAGCCTGGTGTACCAAGTGAGCCAGCCTGAACTGCATAGTGAGACCCTGTCTCAAAAGACAAAACATAAATAAATAAATCTTTTTATACAATGGAGTACTACTCTACCATACGGAAAATATGCTGGAGACATCTGCAGGACAATGGGTGCACTTTGAGACCGTACTCTTAAGGGAAATAAATCGGGCACACGTGTGTGAACGCTGCATTGTTTCTCTGGTGTGAGAAACCGAAAGTGTAAATAAGGACCAAAATGTATTTCAAAATAGGAGGAAAATGTTCAGAGGGGGAGGAACGAGAAAAGGGAGGAGGAAAGGAAAGAAGGGAAAAGTAAATGTTAAAAAATGAGAAAAGACAGAAACCATGGAGACAAGGCTTTGTGAATAGGGAAGGAGGAGGGACTGGAGGGGAAGGGGGAAAACCAAGTTATATCACATACAGGTATAAATTCTCTATGATGAACGCGATCATTATGTATATCTAAAATAGTCCAATAAAATCTAATATAAGTGATCCCCAGTACCAAATGAAAACCCCCTAATATAAAGAAATTCCTTTTGACTTTCCCCCCAACCATTCAAAAAGCCAAGAAACCATTCATAACCCCCAGGCCGTTCCAAAAGAGGTAGGGCTGGATTTATCCTGAGGCTGTGGTCTGCTACTCCTGCTCTGTACCAACGAAAACAAATTTCAGCCACACCCTCAACTCCATGTGGCTTAAAAGGCAAAATGTGGAATGAAGGAAGCATATCACAAGAATACACACAGGGTCATCCCAGTTACACCAAGTTCACACACAGACGAACTAGGCGGGGGTGTAGTCAATGGAAGAATGCTCGCTCAGGGCTCCATCTTCAGAACCAACAAACAAAACAAGCAAGTTAGTGTATGTGGTTTAGTGAGGTACTCAATGAAGGAGACTATAAAGAAATGCCAGAATGATTATCCTAACATGAAGTCATGCCCGAGTCCATTCTCTCAGAGAGTTTCTTGGGAAGAATATTCTAGAACATTCTAGAATGAACCAGAATGTTCTTTTTCTATCTTGGCCTGTGGGTAGTAGTCACACAGAACTTTGTTGTATAACATTTACTATTCAGCACTGTACTTTTCTGTACTGTTTTTTTACAGTCACAAAAGAGAAAGCAAAGAGGATAGGACAGGTGTCTGAACCCTCCTCACCTGACAGGCATTTGTGATCATCCAGGAAGGGTCTTGCATTCTACTGCTCTGCAGGACTCTCCACTCAAACAGAACCTCTCACCAGTCCTTAGTCCTTCCCCTGGCTCTGCCTTCTGGCCTCCCAGCCTTTATTCATGCTGTGTGCCCCCCACCCCGCCGGCTCCCCCTCCTCCTGCCACAGCCTACCCCACCCCACCCCTGCCAGCCGGCAGCCTTTCCAGCACTCTCTGGCCCACCTCCACCCGCCTCTGCCTCGAGCTCTCCACGGGCATTAGACAGAGATGAAAAGCAGAGGGCAATGGTGGCAGAGGCTGGAGAGGCGGCGGGAAGGGAGGCAGGAAGCCCTGGCCCGGAAAGGCAGCCCTTGCATACATCTTTCAGACAACAAAGGCAGCCGCCCCACCTGAGGCCGGAGCCAGTGGTGGCAGAGGCCACAATTTCCCACCAGGTGGAGCAGGGCCTGTGGCCTCTCTCCTCCACCCCTCCTGTGCAAGAACTGGTCCTCCTCAGAGGGCATTTGAGATATCAGCACAGTCCAGAGTCCTGGAAGGGCGAGCAGAACGCAGGAACTGACACTCTGCCAGACCCTGAGGCCCAGGCACCTTAAGTGAATGGCCTAAGGGCACACAGCCTTCAAAGACAGATGGGTCTTCCACTCAGGAGTGGCCTCCCATCCTCCTGCTGAGGCCTTGGGGGGGCCTGGGCCTGGTAGGAGAGTGTGAGGACGCCAGAGCTTGCCACGGCTCTGGAGAGGAGCACAGGCCCAGGCCCAGCTCCCAGCCCCAGCGAGGCGGGGAGAAGGGCTAGGAGTGGAGAAGCTGCATGGACAGGAGCCCATGAGCTCACCAAGGTGCCTCTGGCTTCACTTGGCCCTGCTGGCTGCTGACACGATAGGCACTAACCTTCTGCCAGTCCTCGGGATATCCTGAGGCAGGCTGGGCATTATGATGGTACCCATTTAACAGATGAGGCAACTGAGGCAGAGTGATGTACATAATCTGCCCAGTGCGCCAGTGCCAGAGGCAGACTCTGCTCACATCCCATCTGAAGCTGCTGTGTGGGCCCAGGCTGCACACCTAATCCCACAGTGGCTGTGTTCTGTCACACCCTAGCGTGGGACGGGCCTCGGTGAGGACACTGGTGACATCCTCAGGGTCACCATGCGGTTGGCTATAGCAGGCTGGAGCTTGTATAGGGCAGGGTGGGGGTGGGGAGAGGCAGGATCACTGCCTTTAAAGCCCAGACAGCCAGTGGGGAGGAGCCTGGGGCAGCGCCCACAAAAAGGGGTGTGTGTCTGCCCTGCACTGGGGCTCAGGAGACTGTGGGGTGCTTTCCTGTCTTGTGAAAGAGCAGGAAGCATTTCTCTTAGCTATAATATTGCTGCAATATTGTAAAAAAAAAAAAATCTGTTTTCGCATGCAGTTCCTGCTGTTACAAAAGAGCTTTTCCACCCCGGCAGCAGAGTTACCCGGGTTCTGGGGGAACCCGCAGGGCGGGCCGAGGGACCTCACAAAGGGAAAGAGCGGGGGCACGGGAGAAACGGAGTGACAGTGACCGAGTGGGGGCTTCAAAGGCATGGTCACTGCCAAGTTGCTGAGGCCATCCTCACACCGGGCTGGGGGTCGGGGTGTGGCAAGTGGGCACGGGGCTGGAGTGGGGCTTTTGGGGAAGGGTTTTGTGTGTGTGTGTGTGTGTGTGTGTGTGTGTGTCCTTTTGAGATGGGGTCTCACTCTGCAGTTCAGGCTGGCCTTGAACCTTGAACTTACTTTGTAGTCCAGGCTGGCCTCAAAGTATAGTGACCCTCCTGCCTCAGCTTCCCAAGTGCTGGGATTACAGGCATGCGCCAGCACGCGCAGCTGGATGTCCAGGCTGGGCCTGAGGTTGACCTGGGCCTGACCCTGACTGATATTTACCTGGGCCTCTGCTCCCTGTCTGTAAGATGGTGCCAGTGGAGAATGAGGTGTCGGCGGTGCTGTGAGGGTGGGCAGCGGGAACCTGGTTAAAGACTCCCTTTTCCTCCCCAGCAACTGTACCCAGGGTGGCTCTGTCCCTTGCCAGCTTCAACTCGAAGGAGTTCCACGGCACAGGTACCTGAGATTCGCTGGGCACACGGAGAGCTGTCCCCGCCCTCACTGACCCCACACTTGACCCCACCACGCAACGCCCACCCTCCCCGGTTACGGCCAGCAGCCCAGGCTTGGCCAGGGGAGGGGGGAACCCGTTAACACAACAGCAGGGTTGGGGGGGACAGCGCTGTCCTCCATCCTTCAAAAGCCACCTTGGCAAGGCATTAGCTAAACACCTTCTCAGTCCCCGAAGGCTTCCCCTGTGAAGTCGGCAATGTTCAAACAGCCAGCAGCAAGTCCCCCGAGACGTCCTGGGAATTAGCTGCACGGCCGGATGAAAGGCGCTCTGATGTGCGCGTGAGTGTGTGCTGTGTGTGTGTGTGTGTGTGTGTGTGTGTGTGTGAGAGAGAGAGAGAGAGAGAGAGAGAGAGAGAGAGAGAGAGAAAGACAGAGAGAGAGAGAGAGAGAAAGGGATGGACGGTACCTGTCAGCTGCAGGGTCCAGGGCACCAGGAACACCGCGAAGAGTCGGGGGGCCATGCAGGGGCCGGCCACAGCCCCCTGCCATGGAAGCCAGCTCTCCATCTAGGGCCGCCTGGTCTGGGCGCTCGGTCAGTGTCCCTCCTTCCTCTCCAGCTCCTGGAAGGGACAGCCCACACCAGCCCCTGCCCCAGTTCCCTTCTGTGTCCGCAAGCTCCTCCCAGGCCACCCTTCTGCTTCTTCAAGGCTGCCCCTGGCGTCCCCTGGCCGTAAGCCCACACTTGCCCACAGAGAGTGGGGACAGCCCGGTGGGGCTTTGACGTAACCAGGCCATGAGGCGGGAGAAGGGCTGGGCCGGGGACCCAGGAACTCACACAGAGGGGCTTCAGCCTTCCAAGGTCCCTCTCGCCAGGGGCCTGGGACTGTGGCAGCCACCCAGAAGAGGGCACAGAGTTTCTGTGAGTGACCTCAGGTTCCAGGTTAGCGCTTTACTTCTGGGACAACTTTTAAATGCCCCTGACCACATCTACACACACTTCCCCTTTGCCCTGAGAAGTCCTTGACACTGTGCGACCAGGGAATAGGCTTTGGGGGACTCGTGGGGACAGGCACAGGTGAGGCAAGGGGCAGAAGCCACATGTCCCCAGCCTTAGAGAAGCCCCAAGGTCTCCTGGGACGAAATAGCAGGCTGCCAACGTGTGGCCAGCTGTGGGCCGCGGAGGCCTGGAAGCCACCCAGGAGGACACCCCTGCCTGACACGTGACTCCTCCCTGTGGCTTCCCCCACCGTGAGACGCAGGAGCTGCTTCTCCATCGGCCCCAGTCCCAGCCCTGTCCTTCCCTACACGGAAGGGCCCCTCTATACCAGACGGGAGACCTGCACCCCTGGGCAAGAGGGGGTGCATTGTAGCATGCAGGGGCACTCAGGGGCACAGCCAGGAAGGTGGCCGCTCACACCTGAGAAAAACACACTTGTCCTGAGTGCCCAGCGGAGAAACCACGGCCCTGAGAAGCGAGGTGACCTGCCGGCTGGGGTGTCGGGACGGGTCTGGGGGCCAGGCCAGGCGATTCCTGTGACTTTCTCACCAGCTTCCTCAGGAAGGGGCACCCTGGCCGCAGCCCCGGAGGTCACCGTGGACCCCTTCCAGTGCCCCTCCCGAGTCCCAGCTCCTCTGACACTTCCCGCATGACCAATGAAAGGCAGAGGTGTGGGAGCCGCTGGGGCGAGGGGCCACCCACCAGGTGACAAAGACAGACACCACTACGTGGGTCAGGGCGAGCTGGGCCCACAGCAGTGCTGACTGTTGATCCATCACGGTGGCACATGATCGCACGTGTCACAGCGCGACACGGATTGTCTGCTTCACGCTGCGCCCCGGCTCCTGGGGGTCCAGCTGTCTAAGTACCTCCGTGCCATAGTGATAGATGCCCTGTGAATTCCTGAGCGTGGGGCGCATGCTAAAGACCATGGGCAGGGCCTCTGTGAGGCTTGGCGCCGGGAACTCGGAAGCCTGCTCCTCCAACACTGGCACAGCCCCCATGCCTGCCCAGGTGCCAGCCTGCTGGCCTGCCCGCCCGTCTGCCGCTGCCGCTCTGTACCCACCGAGCTCCTCTGACCCTGGTCCTTTGCACACCTCTGATGGCTTTAAGGCTGGTACAGGCTGGTGCAGGCTGGCATGGGTGGACAGACCTCTGAGCATGAGCTTCGAAGGTGACTGTCGCACATGGTGCTGGCACACAGGCCATCTCGGTGGGCTGGCTGGACTCTGGCTAGGGTAGGAAGAGGCCCACATCCATACCATGCAGGCCTCGGGTTATGGGGCACGGATGGAATAATGGAGGGCTCGGTCATCGCTGGGCTTCTGGGCTGCTCCATGGCCCATAGGCCCCTGCAGACTCAGGGACCTGCATTGGGCAGGATCCCTACCAGCCTGGCACCTCCGGTCTAGCCCACTGGCATTGGCCTCTGGGAAGGATGCAGCAGGGAGGGACCCCAACTTTGAGGCACCTGGGTCCAGGAGGGACAGCAGTGAACCCTGCACACTGCGACCAGGGGCAGGGTGATTCAGAACAGGTCCGAAGTGCCAGGTGCTGATCAAGGGCCTTTAATCTGCTGACCACAGTCACCCTCACTCACTGCGATCCTATGAGGCAGGTGCTCCAATCCGTCCCACTTTACAAATGAGGACACTGAGGCACCTGACCCTGCTCTGGCCACCTCTGGCAGAGAGATGTCAGGGAAGGAGGCAATTATTCAGGGTAAAGGAGGGTAAAGGAGGAAGGGCCCTGGGGTCTTCAAAGAGGAGGGAGGAGGACTGACAGAGGAGGAAGTGAGTGGGGAGTCAGGGGCACAGGTGTGGCCTGCAGTCCCCAGGGACTCTAACACTAAGACTGGAGCACTCCAAAGGGGACCGCTGTCCCCAGCCTGTGCTCGGCATAGTGGACCTGTGCTGAGCACCCACCGTGCACCAAGCAGCAGAAGTTTGAAAGCTAAGCCTCACCCGCAGCATCGCCCTCCCTGAGGAAGCAGGGCCCCAAGCAGACCTGCAGGTGCTGGGCGAAGGTGCAGGGGCCCCAGCCCAGTGGAGCCGAGCTTCCTGTCTGGCAGGGTGCCGTGGTGGCAGGTGCTCAGGAAGCAGAAGTGTGGGCGGGCGGGGGACACTGCCTCCCGCCCAGCTTTGGAAGTCACCTCCTTCCTCCCTGAGACTCAAGCTCGGGCAGGAGTGGGGTCCTCTCAGGAGGATGCCTCTGCTCTGGCCTGGCTGCTCCTGGGGGTCTCTAGGAGGCAGGTCCTTGCATCCCGCCTTCTTTCCCTCAAGTGTCACACGGTAGAGGAGGGAGTCTCTCCGAGCACCAGGGTCAGGTCGGGTCCCCTTCTTAACCACCTCCTTTTTTTTGAGACAGGGTCTTGCTGTGCAGTTCAGGCTGGTCTTGAGCTCGAACTCACAATGATCCTCCTGCCTCAGCCTTCTAAATGCTGGGATTGCAGGTGTGAGCCTCCATGCCTGGCTTCCATATCCACTCTTGAAGAGGTGAGCTCTCTGTTGTGGGAGGCAGGCAAGGCCCCTGGAGGCCATGGGGTGCAGGTGACGGAGGCCGTGGTCTGTCCCAGCGGAACTCTCTAAGTCTCTTCTCCATTTAGGCTGCCCTGTATTTCTGGCCGTTTCTTAGGTGTCCCTTTCACATCAGACGCGGCTCGGAAGGTTTTTCTTGATTCTGGGAAATGTTACCACTGCCTCCAGGCTGCGGACTGGGGCACTGAAGTTCAGAGGGCCCCAGGCCAGGGCAGCAGGGCCAGGACCTGGCTCCTAGGATGGCTCTGGCCAAGGCACCTCCTGCAGGTGCAAGTGATTCTGCCGTCCACCCCTCAGTTTACGGCTTCAGTGACGAAAATAAGCGACCTACCGGGATCCGAGCCCCACACTCAGGTCCCATAGCCTTTCCCTGCCGGCTCTGCTGTGCACTCCAGCCCTGCAGCTCTGAGGTCACTGGACGATCCACAAACACGGAAACGCGAAGGTGACGTCTCTGCAACACTGGTACTATGGCTCACCGTACAGCTGTGGGACTTGAGCCCTTGGCGCCACAGTGGCCCTGGACGACATTAGCACCGGCCAGGTGACCAACTGCTGGAGGTCCCTGGAGGGCGGCGGGGGTCAGGGCCACGGAGTCCTGCGCTTCCCTGGGTTGTCCTGTGTCGACGGCGCCACCTGGTGGCGGACGCGGGGACGCCTCCCCCGAGATTCCGCCGCGTGTCCCCGCCTCCCGCCCCAGGGGTCCCGCGCTGCCCGAGGCCACCAGCCTGCACTGTCAGCCCAGGCTCCGAGGGCCGCGGGATGAGCCGGCGGCGGGGCGGGGCCGGGGCAGGAGGGACCCGAGGCCACCCACGCGGCGGAGAGGGCTTTGCAGGGCGTGGCGCCCGCAGACTCCCGGTCCCAGTCGGCGCCGCCGGAGGGCGCTGTCCCCTCGTGCAGCGCTGCCACTGGGCAGACCGGGACCCCGGCAGGGCTCCCCAGGGCCGGTTCTGCAGATCTGGGAAACAGCCTCCTGGGGGCGACTGCTTGGTTTGTCGCCCTAGTTCTCTGGTTCCAGGCCGGAGCCTAGTCTCTGGGGGTGGGCATGGGGGTGGGATGGGGGCCATGCACAGCAGGGACCGCACCTCCACAGCGTGGGCCCCATGCAGCCCTCCCCTCCCCCCCTTCCTTTCCCTCCTCCCCGCCTCTGTCTTTCCTTCCCCTCCCCCTTGTACCCTCCCTTTCTCCCCCTTCCCCCTGTTCCCCTCCTGCATCGTGAGGAGGTCTCAGGCCTCCTGGGAAGAGGGGCCCAGAGCCACCCCTGCTGCGCCATTAGCATGGGGGAGGGTGCATCGCATCCTCATCAATAACATGGTGTGAAATCCCAGTTTATAAAGGTTTGGCCGAGAAGCAAGGTTTGGACCAGGCCAAAGGAAAAGTCCTTAGCAAGATTTGACAGAAAAAAAAGGTTCGCGGTCTGCCTTGATCTTTAGCCCCTGTCTTTTTTCTTTTTTCTGTGTAGAGACTGAACCGAGGGCCTTTTCACTGAGCTACGACGCCAGCCTCTTTTTAAAAGCATAAAAATAAATACATAAAAAGAAAAGCTTTTTAAAATTTTTTTGATGTTTTTGTTTTTTTGAAACAGGGACTGGCTATGCAGTCCAGGCTGGCCTTGAACTCCGTATGCGGCTGAAGATGGCTTCGAACTCAGGCCTCCGAGGGATTACAGGGGTGCACCACCACACTCAGCTGTAGACCTTGTCCCTGTGTAGATCCTTGGCGGGTAGTGTGGGGATCATGGAGAACAGTGCAGGTCTGGAAAGGGGGAGAGACTCAGCCACAGACCTGGAGAGAGGTGGCCTGGAAGGAGGGACTCTGGCTGTGACCGGTCTGGGAGGGGCAGGAGGACTTGGGGGATGGGGCAGGAACGGGGGAGTCTCTGGTCCCTGCCCCCACCTTCCCCGGGCAGCTGTTCTTGGGCAGCTGTTCTTAGAGCTGCCCTACTGGGGCTCCAGAGGGGGAGGCTGGGAGCAGCAGGGGGTTCTCTGGGGACCAAACCCCTCCTCCCTAGGGAGCCCCGCCCACCTCGGTCCTCTCCTGCTCCCCTTTCTTTCCCGGCTCCCCTCCCCCTACACCGTTGGTCTGGGGATGAACTGCCCCGCTGGGCTGAAGTGGGTGACCGTCAGTGGCCTTTGCTTCAGAGGCTGTGACGACTTGGGCTGACACCTGTCCCGCTGCAGGGACCCGGAAGGCCCCTTCAGTGATGCAGCATGAATTTAGGGTCCTCATTCATTCCCCTGACAGACTCTGGGTGCTGCTTCCTCCAGCCGGCCTGTCCTGGGTGGCCCTGCTGGCTTAGGTCCACAGCCCTGTGGGAACCCAGTGGAGGGCAGTCACAGGGGCTCCTTTGGGAGCTCTGGGAGGCGCCATCAGGGACTGAGGAGAGGCTGGAGGGCACCAGGGGAGCCGGGCTGGAAGGACCCCCTCTCTTTGAGGCTCACCAACCACCACACCAGCTCCCACTGCAGATCAATAAACTGCTGTTTCTGTTTAAAAATTACTGCCGCGACAAAAAAAAAAAAAAAAAAAAAAAAGCAGGGGCTGGGGATTTAGCTCAGCGGCATAAGCACCTGCCTTGCAAGCAGGCGGTCGTGAGTTCAATCCCCAGTACCGATAAAAAGGAAAAAGACAAAAAAAAATAAAATAAAATAAAATAAAATAATAAATAAAAATTACTGCCACAGCCCTGTAATCCCTGCACTTCGGGAGGCTGAGGCCGGAGGATTGCAAATTCAGGCCCACCTGAGGTAACTTAGCTCAACATAAAAAAATGCAAAAAAGGGCTAAGGACGAGCTCAGTGTGAAGACCCTGAGTTCAATCCCCAGTACTGAGAGACAGAGAGAGAGAGAGAAAGAGAGAGAGAGAGAGAGAGAGAGAGAGAGAGAGAGAGAGAGAGAGAGAAGGAAAGCAGGGAAGGAGGAGGGACCACTGGAGTTGGAGCCAGACTGGATTTCTGCTGCTCTTAAGTCACCCCAAAGCTGCGCTGGAGGCCAGCGGCTCTTATCTGTGACCCAGCCCCTGTGACATGGGGCGAGAAACCCCTGTGCTCTGGAGCCCCGCACCACTGAGGAGGTGACCTATCTTCCAGGACCAGCAGCCCGCCTTCCCAAAACCCCACCCCGGGCCCCATCACCACCACCACCAGTGAAGGGGAAGCTTCCGGGCTTTGGCTGCAGGGTTCACCTTGCCTGGCCATTGCCGGCCTCTGTTGCTGCCCCTCCCGCAGCGTCCCTGGCCTTCCTGGCCTTACTGTCCAGCCACTGGAAGTTGAGCTGCTCAGAACCTTGCCAGATGCAGCAGACCTCGGCGTGGGCAGCGCCCTTTGTTATTGAGGCCTGAGCCACCACTGCTGGGCCTGGCCACTGTCTAAGATAAGCGCAAGATGGGTTAGTGGTGGCACAGGGACAGCAAGGCCTTGGCCCATCCTCATGGCCACCTGTGACGCAGGTACCACTGTGTTCACACTGTGCACTGAGGCTCAGAGAAGCAAAGTCAGTTTCCTAAGGCCACACAGCAAGGGAAGGTGAGACTGGGATCGGAACCCAGTTCTAGGGTAGCTGGCTCAGAAGCCCGGGACAATCTCTGGGGTGTCTACTTTCCTTGGTCAGTGGGAGCTCCCTGTCACCCCGGTATTCAGGCCCCTCCTCAGCCCCTCTTCCCTGGGGACAGAGTCTCCAGCTGTGGAGGGTCAGGCCCAAGCACAAACATTCCTGGGTGGATAGATGGACAGACGGTCGGCTCCACGGGTAGATGAGTGAGACTGGCCATGCACAAGAAAGAGCTGCAGTGCAGTGACGGAGCTGTAGGGAAGGTGGCCTCAGATCCGCCCCCCCCCCCCCGGGTTCAAGCCCACTGGCGTTGCGGACACCCCGTGGCAGACCCCCAGGCTCGGCACTGCTGAGAACCCAGGATAAGGAGACCCACTTTTGACCCTTCTCATTCCTTCCCTTTGGGGTTTGGGCCTCCAGGGATGTGGGTCTGAGCCTGGGAGGGGAGAGGGCAGAGAAGGGGGCTCAGTCCTTCCGGACCCTCTGTTTCCTCCAAGCTTGGGGCTTGGGGCCCCAACAAGAGCCTTCTGTGCGCCCCTTCTCTGCTCCAGCTGGGGACCTGAGTGGCCTTCAATGGCAGCACATGGTGCTGGCCTGTGTGCGCTCCCCACTGGACACAGTGGCCCTTGGAGGCGGGGTTGCTGTGGAAGTCCTGCCCCTTCCCCCTGCCACCCTCAGGCCACCCCCCGGGTGACCAACTGGGCTGAGAGTGTCACCCTTGTTTGCACTTAGAGAAAGGCACCAAGGCTCTGCTCTTGGGGGGCACTCCCGTGATCCTAGAGAGGTGCTCAAAACCGCACTGTGGGGCGCACATCAGATCAAGATGGGCACAAGGGGCGAGGGGTGCATTGTGACAGGCTCAGAGGCTCCAAGGGCTTCACATGTAGAGCCCCCAGGGAGGGAAAGCCCCAGACCGAGAGAAGCAAGTCACCCAGGCTCCCAGAGCTAGGAGGTGGCAGAACCAGGATTTGGGTCCAGCTGGTGCAGGGTCCCAGTCCCGCTTCTCCATGCACAGCCTGATTCCAGTGCCAAGGAAGTAGTCAGCAGGACCCAGCTAAGTTTATGGGGTCTCAAGCTTCCAGGGTGTGTGTGTGTGTGTGTGTGTGTGTGTGTGTGTGTGTGAGAGAGAGAGAGAGAGAGAGAGAGAGAGAGAGGAGAGAGAGAGAGAGAGAGAGAGAGAAAGAAAGAAAGAAAGAAAGAAAGAAAGAAAGAAAGAAAGAAAGAGAGAGAGAGAGTGTGTTGCTAGGGATTGAACCCAGGGCCTTTGCATTGAGCTACATCCCCAGCATTTTTAATTTTTGCTTTTGAGTCACAATCTTGCTAACTGGCTGAGCTGCCCAGGCTGGGCTCAAACTTGGTGATCCTCTCACCTCAGCCTCGGAGCGTGCTGGGATTATAGGGGTGCGCCCCACACTCGGCTTCCTGCACAGTTTTGAGGAGCCCCTCATTAAAAACCAAAGCAAAACACAGTTGCAAAACCCAAACCAGGCTTGCAGCACTAACCCGACATTCTGTTCTACCCAGAATAGAAATCGCACACATTTTAAAAGACTCAGCCAGACTATAAACATCTATAAAGCAACCCAGAAAAGTAACAGGCTGTTTTGTATTAACTCTGGCCCACATTCCCTGTGTTTTCGCATGTGCCGCTCACCTTTTCAGACAGCAGGGTTTTCGTAACGCCATGCTCTGTGATGACAATGAAAAAGTTTACTTGTGCTCCCTGTGTCTTTTGGAGACGGGGTCTCTCTATGCAGTTCAGGCTGGCCTTGGGCTCACTTTGTAGCCCAAGCTGGTCTCAAACTCGCAGTGATCCTCCTGCCTCAGCCTCCCGAGTGCTGGGATTACAGGCCTGCGCCACCATCTTTGGCACAAACTTCCTTTGAACAGGGACGGTGAGAGGGCAGGGCACAGGCAAGGCAGGGTTTTCCCTGCATGCTAGCACGCATCTTAAAGCAGTGGTGGGGAACCTGTGGCACGCGTGCTGCAGAGGGTACACGCAGCCCAGACACCCCAGCAGCCGAGCCTTGAATTAGAGTTTTTTCCAAATGAAAACCTCAGTATTCAGGTTTCATTGTGCCATGTTGGCACTTTGTGACAGGTAAGTGGGTTTTAAGGCTGTGGGTTGGGCACTTGGTGTCTAAAAGGTTTGCCATCACCATCTTGAACGCTCCCACGTGGCAGATCTCTCCCACTTGCCATCGGGGTGCCTTGGTGTTGGTGACAGGAAGCTCATCTAGAGCATTGCTATCCTGGCAGTGGCAGCGGGTTGGTGGCCACACACTTTTCTGTGGTGTTCACTGGGTTTGTGCTATGTTCATGGACAGGAGCGTTCCGGGGAGCCCCTGGTTCCCTCAGCCAGTGGCTGTAACTTTGACCCCAGCAGCTCAGGCTGAATGGATTTACAAATCAGTTTCCCCCAAAATATGCATAGCTGGTACAGGACCAGCCCACTGGACAGGATGGGGGGGAAAAAGGAGGGGAAATCAGGTTAAAAAAAAAAAGACCTGACCAGCTGAGGTTGGAAAAAGAAATCTCACCTTTGCCAAATTAACAGAAACCCATGACTACATAGCAGGCACACACTACAGAAAAGGAAGCTTTTCGCCAAGTTTGGTGGTGCTACGCTTCTAGTCTCAGTCATTTGGGAGGCTGAGGCAGGCCGACTGTAAATTCAAGGTCAATCAGGACAACTTAGCCAGCCTTTGATACAAAAATAAAATGCTGCCAGGCCGGGGTGTCCCTCCACAGTGAGCAGTGAGCGGTCCCCTGGGCTGCTAAATTCCAGGATCTAATCACTGGCACTTGGGAGCTTAGGGAAGGGGAGGGAGGGGTGCAGGAGGGGCCGTGTAGGAGCTCCTTTAGCTGAGAGCCGCAGCCTTAGGACACATAGAGGCAGCTGGTGCTCATGGGCCCCTCTTGGCTTCTCCAGAGGGGTTGCAGCCACCTGATTCCTGCCAGTTTCCTGTCCCACCACGGTGGCCCCAGCCCAGCTGTCCTTCCTGAAAAGGGAGCTCTTGGGATCAAGCCTCTCCCTAACTGAGGGACCTCAGGCAGACACAGATGGCACAGGCCCTTTGACTGCCACCTTCCTCACCAGCACGGTGAGAATAGTTCAGGCTCCCCCACCACAAAGCTGCCTGGAGAGCCAGGCTGGTGGCCCATGCCGTGAGTTTGAGGCCAGCCTGGGCTACACAGCAAGACAAGAGGCCGTGGGGAGGTGATCCTGGCACTTAGGGATCTACTAGGATCACCGCAGCACTCTCCTGTGGCGTGGAGAGGGGTGATATTTCCTCTGAGTCTATTTGAAACCCAGCCGTGGTTTAGCAGCACACAGGGGCCAGGGCTCCCCATGGCCCAGGGTCCCCAGGTCCTGGGCCTTGCTGGCCACTGCAGCGCCACCCCCTGGGGCCTGGAGGAGGGGAGAGCTCGGTCCCTTTTACTGGCTCCTCCTCCTGCCTGGAGAACTCCAGCCCGCACTTTGGCTCCAACTCCCTCTGCTTCTTCATCCTGGCTTCAAAGTCTGCCTGACAATCAGCTTTTCATCCATTTTCTGAAGACAAGGAGGTGAGGGGCATGGGGTGCTGCACCCCAGCTCCTGTCCTTGTGTGGCTGAGCCCTGGCAATGGGTGGTACGCACTCCGTGCCAGCCCTAGCCTGCTCCCCCCCCCGGGGGGGTCTCCCCCCTGGCGCCCGGCGCATGCCCCTCCTCAGCCTTCCCCACAGGACACAGGACAGAGATGGATCGGCGCTCTGCAGGCATCTTGAGTAATAAGCTTTTTCATTCGGTGGCAAATCCCAGATTTAAAAAAGCAGTTTTGAAGAATTTTCCCCCCTGGGCCCTGGGGAGAGGACAGAGCTGGACTTGAGCAGCTGCCAGGTGACAACAGGGTCAGGGACAGGTCCTCTGGGATCTGCAGTGTCAGGGCTGCATGCTGGCAGTGAACACTG